GGGAAGAGCCCCCCCCTCTGCTCCCCCGGCAGCGGCTGCCCCTGGAGCCCCAGGGAGCTCCGAGAGAGGGCCCCGGGGAGGGGGGCGTGCGCCCAAGGTCGGGCTCTTTGCTGTGGATTCGTTCCTCCTCCTTCTGTAAAACATCCGAGGGAAAAAAAAAAAAAAAAAAAAAAAAAAAAGACGACGTTTTCTTTCCGCGGTTGCCCGTGCTGGGCGGGAGCGTGAGGGGAGCCGGGACTGGCGGGGACCGCTCGGAAATAGGTGAGGTTGGTAGTTAACCTGGTAGCGACCGGGCTGCCTTTAAATATACGCCTATTATATGTCTATATATGTGTACCCTGAGCAGCAGCACTATATATGTGTACCGTGAGCAGCAGCAGCTTTCCGGGTGCCGTGCCCGTGTCCCTGCTAGGCGGCGGTGCGGGCGCCGCGTCGCCAGAGCCGCTGCAGGTAGCGCGCGTGGGGGCCGAGGCTGCGGGCAGGCGGGCTGAGGGTCTGCCCTTATCCGCGGCTTTTATCCAGCAGCTTCGGGCGATTCTTCCTTGTTTAAGGCGGCTACTTGGATGGCTGAAATCCAGCCGGTGCTTGGGTGGGTGAAATTCAAATGTTGGATGGATCTGGAGCTTGTGCTGCTCTTGGCGGAGGTTGTGTTGTACATGAGGGCATGCTGGTTTTTACGTGTGTAATATCTGCAGAAAGCAAGCAAACAAAAAAGCACTTGTTTTTCTGTTGTATGCCTTTGGAGTAGCAGAACGTAGTGCTTTTGCAGCAATTGGCATTGCTTGATATGCTTGTTTTAGGGGTGTACAGCTGAAGACCAGGGCTGTGCTGGTGCTCGGTATTTTCCCACTGAGGTAGAGAAATGTTAGTCTCCTGGTTTGAGTGTGGATTGGGACAGACTCCTGAAATGGTGTTTTACATATGCATATAATGTGCCTCACAGGTTTCTGTAGGTACCTGCAGGAAGGTAAGCACATGTTCACTAGTATAATCCATTTTGCAATAATTGAATATGTATTATTCCTTGTAAGTTCTTGCTGATTTTTACTTCTCACCTAGCATTATCACAACGGTTTATGGTCTCAGGGTTGAGATGTTTGTCGCTCTGCTGCAGGCAGAGCTGCTGGCCGGATGTTCTGCACTTAAAGCTAGAACGAGGGGCGTGGAGTAGTGAGGCCAGCACTTTAGTAGCATGCATATAATAAATGCTAGAAGATGCAATAGGAATGCAAACTGAGTGACTGTAATGTGCATCTGTTCGTGTTGATAGTGGTATCAATAGTGATTTGGTACAAAGCAGAACAGCAAGTAAATTCATGCGATGCCTAGCATGGTTTGAAATGGAAGAGCTTGTTTCCACTATGAGATGCAGTCTGTGCTAAAAAAGAATAGGGGTATAAAAAGACAGATCAAGTTATCTTTGAGTATTTATTTTGTTTTCTGGATACCGAAATTACATTATGTGGCATGATGCTTTCTTTATTGTTCCATCTTTATGTCTGGAAAGGCAGATGTTGCAACAGGAATGGCAATCACACTGGTTTGCAGTGCGAGGGGTGGGGGAAAAAAGCTTCTCCTGGCTCTTCTTGCTTCTGTCTAAAAGATCAGACAGTATAGGACTGTAAGTCCCTTAAATAGTCTGAGAAATCCTGTGTTAAAAGCAGGGATTTGTTTTCATGGTATCATTAGCTCTATGTAGGGCTTGTCAGCACAAGGATATGCAGGGAAGTTCAGTTCATTCAGTAAAAGGCTAAAATTAATGCACAAATTAAAGAAAATTTCTGTTTCCTGAATAAAATGAGTTAATTTGTCTACTAGACTATAAAAGAATTCCACTTGCTTGGATGAATCTTGCAGTTAATGAACAAAATTCTTACCAAAAGTCAAGAGATTTTCTTAGGTTTAGCTCGTTAGTTGCTTAGCCAGATCTTCTTCTCTTGTGGGATGTTGAGTCAAAAGACAAAAGAGGCAGCAGAGATTCAAGCCCTGATGGTTTTTGTAAAAGAGGCTTCCCAAGTTGGGATTTTGTCATGTACTCTTCAAAAAGCTGTATCTTCACAAAATTAATGGGAGTTTTGTTATTGCAGGTTCTGCTCGGGTTTGCAGTTATCCTGTGCAGACTAGCAAAGCGTCACTGATGTGAACCCTAAGCTGATCCTGTGACAGGGCATGGGCTCTCAGTGTAAGTTGACACTTTAGAGAATGTAGTTTTGGCTTTTAGATACAAACACAGCATTTCTACTTTGGAGTATGTCTGAGACTCCTTGCAGACTAAACATTCAAGCGGATGCAAAGCACTGGATAGCTGACTTGTGCTACTGGCGTCTTTTAGCAGAAAAAGGTTGAAGGAGATCCTGATTACTTCCCTCAGGCCCCACTTCGATGTTGTTTTGAGAAATAAGTTCAACATCAAGAAATGCCTTAAAGGGCAGAGGGAAAGAATAGCAAAAAGGAGAGAGAAAAAAAGACATTTTTCTCTTCCACATGCATATTTATGGAAGGATATGGAAGATCATCATGGAAGCTTAGTCGTCTGTTTCTTCACATCCAACAGGCAGGAACTTGAATACATATAACATACTTGGTGCTTTTAGCCCTTTATATGCTACTGCACTGCAAGTGAGTCATGATATTCAGAAAAGGAAAGGATCTTGCAAGTCTCTGGAAAGTAACAGGGCGTTTTATTCCATTGCAGAACTTTGGCACAGTAATTCTTTCAGCTCTGTGTTTTGAGACTTCCCATCCATAAATGGTGAGGAACCCACCTGAGTTGTGATTTCAAGCAACATTTTAAAGAATGAGCATGGTGATAATTTGCACATTACAGGTCAGTTTTGAGCTTATGCTGTAAGGCTCTTGATTTTGACCGTCTAGAGTTTTGGGTCTTTCTCTTGTAGCCCTTCCTTGCTTAGTGCTCTGTTGCACATAACCTAAATCGTGACCTATCCAGGTCAAGAGCAGCCTTGCATAACTCACTTCAGTGGGGCCCACATCCTGGTTTTCAGCTCTGAGGCATACACACAGAGTTTAGAAATTAATAGCGTAATCTTCATGGCTAATTTAAGGTTAAGAGTAGCTGTCTCAAATGTTGAGTATTCTAAACAGACTAAATTCTAGCATAAAGGTGTTAGTTTCTGTTTTTCTTCATAATTCCTTATCGTAATTAGTTTGGTTCTGTGTCTTGCTACTGTCCTTACTTGTGTAACACCCAGCTAGTGCAACCCTTTGCATTTCTGCTGCAAGTGATATGTGAATACAAGTGCATGGGTTAGCAACTCCAGTTTGTGACACACACTTACCCTGAGGTGTAAGCAGTGCAGTTAGGGGGTGGATAGACCATCATCTCCTGTATGTGGTGTCAGATAAATACCTTCAGACTGGTAGTGTCAATCACTGCCTTATAAAAACTCCACTTATACGGTCTTTTTGAAAAGAATTAAGTGATGTATAGCAATCAGTACAAAAATAAAGAATATTAACTGCATGTAATATTTTATTTGTGCGAATTCGTTTAGCATATAGGTATTTACTTCATTGCGTGGTGTGCAAGCTCAGTCCTCTTGGGTGTGCCTGGACATGAACTGGATGCTCAAAGAGGTTTTGAAAGCTACGGTGAAAGCAATTAATGATAGTTGCAAGGCGTGGAGATTGGTTTCCTGCCGATAGGCATTATTGTGTCCCGTGCTGCTAACATGCCGTTAACTAGAATAATGGAGACTAAGGCCCATCTGTATGCACCTCTCCACCAAACTGCTAAGTTATGACACAGCTAGTTTTAATTACACTGTTTTCTTAAACTGCCAAAAATGTACTTCATATTTCACTAGAATTGCTTTACTGTTGACTTTGTCCACAGGTCATGTTTCATTAAAAGTGCTGAGGAGCACCCAGAACTCTGAAGACAGCAGTTTTGTGCAAGATAAGAATGCTCCTTAAAGAAGCTGATGGAGGATAGAGCTCCAGAGTGCCTGGCAGATACTGACAGCATAAGATGACGCCATAGTCTAGACTGAAATTGTAAGTCTAAGAAAGACTAGTTATGCTTCCCTTTACAAGAAGTTATTGCAGCCAAGAAGTTTGATAGTGACCTAGAATCTGCTTTTAGGACCTGTACAAATGTTTTTTTTTTTTTCCGAGTCAGTTGCAGTAACATGACTGTGGAGTGACTAGTTTTTCTTTGGTATTCTGTATATGCCGGTGTAAATTGAATCTGTGCTCCCTAGAGGTAGCAGAATGAATTTACCTGGTGAACTTGAGATTGGGAGCTGTCATTTCTGAACTTCTTAATTTCTAGAATTGCTAAGAAAGTTAGGAAATAGATTAAGCTCTGCAGCATTACCAAAACTACTGGTTCTGAAGGAGTCTGCATTTCCACAGCTGTAAGCTCATAAGGTGTTGTTTTGCTGCAGTTTGTCAGCAGTCATGAAAATATGCAAAATATTTCATGTGAAGATGCGTGTACCCTTAGAGTCTTTTCCCACTGAGGTTTTTGCAGTATAGGGAGCTGTCATCAGGGAGCAGTTTACAAGTCAGGAGGCTAGAAAATTAATACTACATATTGCACCTGAAGTACATTACACTATTGTAAGTCCGTATTAAATACGAAAATAACACTATGCTTGGCAAATATAAGACTGATAATTACTATTGGGAAAAATCATATTTTTACTGCAAACTACAAATCCAGTGAATTTAGGTTTTTTCACTTCAAAAAGGGGAAGAATTCTCTCAAGCTTCCATTTCCTTTCGCCTTCATTAAACAGTTCTTGCAAGAAAGAGTAAATGCAGTAAGTAATCTCACCAAGTATGTTTCTATTTATAAGTGAACAGGGATCAAATCCTGTCATTTGTTTCTGTGACCCTGAGAAATGCAGAAGACTGAGAGATTTGTTTGGGAAACAGAGATTATTTACCTACAGAAATGTGCTAACATTAATGCACCGTGCTTCCTTTCCATATGCATGTGCCTTTACCAGAACCAGACATTGAACATGGAGAGGTGCACAATTGGTGAAAATCACTATGCATTTTTGATTACTTTTGTAATAAAAAAACATTGCAAATAATATTTTTGTCAAGCTCCAAAATGTTTGACACTGGAGTATTTGCACTGAAACATTGTAAATAGAAGTCAAGGGAAGTATTTCAACAAGCTGAGCATTAATCTGCAAATTAAAAATATTCTAAAATCATGATTATCCTTTTTCAAAAGTTGAAATTGAAATTTAAAAGGTTTTAGAAAATAATGATTCTACTGAAGAGGTTTTTTTATGTGTGTATATGATCATACTGTTTCAATTATTTACTGTCTTTCTATATTTCTCTTTAGGTTGTTCCTTTTAACATAACTTATTCAAATTTGTTTCTGACATTCTTAGAAGGAAAAACTTGTACTTCTTGAAGGACTCCAAGCTAACAGGGCCGTTTGTATTCATTAATATTAATTCTGTGCATAGTTTCGTTCAATATTACAACTGCAGCATACTTGGGCTACCATTTTAATGTGTAGTTTCTCTCTCTACTGATTTCACCTCGTGGTGGGAAGACTCTGATGAATTTGGAGGATGAATTTATTTGTGTGGAAATATACTTTGTTTGGGGTATATTTGACCTGTTCTGATGTTTCATTTAGTTCATGCCTCAGTTTCCCTTCACTGGTCTTCAGTCACCCAGCAGTCTGACTGGCCAGCAAGTGTTCAATATTGTGGATTTTTAACCACAGTTTTAGAGGAGACAATGCTGTCAAGAAACAGAGATAGACCAGGATCTGCTTTGTGTTGCTCTTAATTTCAGATTTTCTATGGCATTGTCTCTGAAGGCTGTGCTTTTTTCCAAACAGGAATGCAGGTAATACCATGAAAGTCATGCCATTCCTCACAACCAGAAACTTCCTTCTTGAGCAGGTCTTTAGTTTGTGTCTCCTCAGTGCAAGCCTCAAAGGAGTGTTTCGTTTCTCTGAACGGGCTGTTCATCATTCTGTTCTTCTTTACATTATCAGCCCCTTAAACAATTCATACTTCTTACAGCTACAGTAGGAGAAATATTCCCATATCTCTGATTCTCTAGAAGCTGAGTTTGAAGGTGCTTTTCCAAATCCAGAGCATCCACTCATTTCCAGATTGATACCCAAATTTCTCCCTAGTATTGGCCAAGGACGAGCTATCTCATGTGGAAGAAAGTGTCCACATCTCCTGTCCTTAAGAGGTAAGCTCAGATTTTTAAATCATTTGTCTTCTAGCACATAAACTCGGCACTCTTGCAACCAGACAGCTGTCAGGACAGAAATCTCTACAGGTCCCTGGAAGGCAGTTCCATCTGCATTGTCTTGCTAATGTCAAACAGCCCAAAAGGAGCTCGAACCAATTCATCTTACATCATTTGAGTTCTAGATGGTGCTATTAGCTGTTTCTCAGTGTCTCAGTTCTTTTGCTTCTCATGTAACTAGTTAGCCTTGCAAGAAATTTTAAGCCTGGAGGCATAGAAATTTAGAGCATGACTTCTATTACCGAATTATCTTGGGCACTGCTTAACACACAAGCCTTTCTCGGAGATTTGGTAACCCTTTAAAACCAACCCTGCTGCATTTGCTGCCTTTAGACTGATCGTTTACCTTGTTTGCAGTATGTAATAGTGGTGGCTTTCCAGTGTCACTAGACTTTGCAGAGATGGAAATCCCATGGATATGGGCTTGACCCATCCCTGTAATCTCTGAAGAAAAGTTTTGCCCTGGTACTGGTGTATATGTGGACTAGTTCTAGGATATTGTGCTGCAAGACCTTAACTAACTCTTGAGGCTGTTAACAGGAATTCTTCTTTTTTAAATTGAAGTTTATTATTGCATATTTAGTTGCTCATATGCAGTCTATCTATTGAGCCACTTTGAAATGAGATTACATATTTCTTTTTTCCAGAATTTTGCACCCCAGAAGGTGGCAGTCCTGATGCTTTCTGTCCTGAGGATAGACAACCATTTCCTTTCTCCCTACAGAGCGTTGCTGCTCCTCTCCGCTGGGAAAATGTGTTCTGTTTATAATGCCAGCAGTGGCAGGAGTCACTAAATGGCATCTTGGAGATCGTTAGGAATGTTTTGAAAATATTGGCCTTTTAAAAAGGTGCAGAGAGCTTTTACAAGTACCATTGAATAAAATGAAAATTACTGAAAAATTATGCTAAGAAATTTGCACAATGGGGAGAGGGTCTTTGTTTTTAGATGAATCTCTAAGGTGCTATAAATAATAACTATTTTCATTACAGATGACATGCAATCTGTAAAAGCAGGTCATTCCAATTACTAGCTTGTTTCTTCCCTCCAATGCCAAGAGACTTTTGGCAACCAGCAGCATTTCAGACCTCTGTAGAGGTGAATGTTTTATGGATGTAAAAACAAGGGAAAGGTTCCAGTGGAGGATAGCAGGCTTCGGAACCACTTGAAAGGCAGGACTCCTAAAGTTTAGCTGCTCTTAAGCAGCCTTTTTGGGCAAAGAGGAAGGCAGACAGATGCTTGTCTAATTACAATATTGTATCTTGCAGCCCTGTTCCTGCCTCCCACCAGCTCACCAGGACTGCAGTTTTACTTCATGTGTGCAGAATGAAAACAGTGAATTAATAGTAATGGGATTGGGAAGGAAGTAGCCAAGAGGTTTCTTTTCTGAATGATACCTGGGAGCAGAACAGTCTCTTGAACCTTCTCTGTTCTCCCAGCTGGCATCTGAAAATCACGTTCTCACAAGTACTCCATTGGTTGTAAGTTGACAGTTGTTGTGTGCAGATGTAGAGACAGCCCCATAGGCTTTTCCACAGAATCCCACCAGAGATTTATCTTAGAACTTTGCTGGTTATCACCCAAAAGTTGGGTAGCCTGATTTCCCCGCATATATTCCATGTGTTCTCAGTAGTTCATTAGATTTTTGTATGTCTGAATGCAACTCATGCAACTGAAACTCATGCTATGCAAAATACAGGCTTACCGTCCAGTAAAAAAATAACAGTTGAGCTCCTGTAGGCCTGTTAATGGCAGTAATAGTCCTTAGGGGCTTGAGGTTTCATTTTTCTCCACTCTTGCAAGATTTATGTCACATTGTCTAGGTCAGGAGATTTGTAAGCAAGTTAGGCCCTCTGCGAAAGTATTTCTTTTGCCAAAGATGATACTTAAGCTGTACTCTTATCTCTTAAACCTATGCTGCCTTTGAATTTGCTGTAAACTTACAGAATTATACTTGCCTGCTTGATTTTTTTTTTCCTTTCTTTTTTTTTAACATGCAGGTGAATAAAACATATTTATTTTTTCTAGCATCATCTGGACAATCTGTTTTTCTGTGGAGCAGTACGTTTTTCTGATGGTTTTGCAGAGCAAGTTTTCCTGTTTCAGTAGGAGTGCATTTTACTAGCCTGGGGCTTGGGTTTCTCTGTTTCCTGTAGGATTGGAGTTTCTCTCTTGTTGGTATAAATCACTGACACCATTCCATTACGCTGACCAAGCAGTTTGCTCCTTAATTTTGAGAATAGCAAGCCAGAGCGGTGAAATAATTTTAGCTAATTAATTAAATAAAAGCACTTGTTTCAGTGCTTTCCTAAACATGGAAATCGGAGCCTGCAAACATTCATAAGATGAAATGTTGGCACACACAGGATCATTTTTGTGGAACTGCAGATGTGACTATTTTGTTGTGAAACTGCTGGGAGCTTTGTGAATTGCTGTAACAAATCCTGTGACTGAAAAGTGTGTAATGGCTGTTTTATTCTGCCAGTCATTGTCCCAGCATTTGCAAGCCCAGTTAGAATGGCCACCTAATTATAGTAGTTAACTTCTTTTTTTCTAAATTAGAGAGGAGGACTTCCTTGCCTACCTTCATGATACCTAACTTGTGCTGACATATGTGAGGAGATGAGTGCCTCGATGCTGTGGTTATTTTAGTCCATTATTTATCATTTCAAAGCCCTTGAGTGCTGGTTGTGGTAGTTTCTTACCAGCATGTGTGAGTACTTCATGCTAAGTAACTGTTAATGGTCTGTTCCTC